CCCGATTGTCAAAAACCGGCAAGAATTGAAGGGCGCCCAGGTAAGAAAACCGGGCTTCTTCTTCGCCCGATAAAACTTCGACTTTAACCCGGTGCTTTCAGCGACCGAGTCAATGAACCCGACCTTCTTTTGGTCGGATCGGGTATAAGGGGTACGATTACTTGATCTCGGGTCGGATTGGGTGGATCAAACACTCGGCCCAATCCAACACATGCTCATTCTTACACAAGATAATGACAGTTTGAAGGGTATTTTTCTAATTAATAATGTTGATGTTACTTTTCCAATAAATAAATATTTTGAGGTTTTTTAAATAAAAACGCCCATGAATACACATTCCTTGAGAAACAAGAATGAAGAATCTGTCAAAAAAAAAAAAATAAGGGTGCATAAATAACCCCTTGATTATAAGTAATAGTGAATTTAAAAATATTTTTTAAGTTGGACATAATTGTATTAATAACAAAAAAATTTATACAAAATTTTTTTTAAGTAAGTACTTCAATAAAATAAACAACTAACATAAAGAAAATTAGATTCCAGGACGAGCACGTTTACATACATCCACCATTGATTATACGGTGTTACTTTATTGGAGTCTCTCGACTATTAAAAGTTACAAAATAGTCCCTTGATTATAGTGTATTGTTTAATTTATCTGTCGATTATTAAAAATTACAAAATGATCATTCGACTATTCATATGTTTCAAACTCATCATTTTCTGCTAAAAATTAACGGTTGTCTGAGTTATACGTTAACATACTGATTGGAAATAATATTTTTTTAGATTTTATGATTAAATTTTATCATCTTAATCAATAAGTTAACGATCAATTCAGACTATAATTAATTTTTAACAAAAAATTAATGAATTATAACTTATAAATAATAACATAATCATTTTATAACACTCGAATTACTCAAAAAATAATATCATATAATTGTTGATCTATTTTATAACTTTTAATATTACCTAACAAAGTAACAACTATATTCAACAATATATGCTTAGTTTTTTCAGAAATTCATTTTTGTGTTCACGAATTTGAAATTCAGTTAATTAATAAATCAGTAGAAGAGAAGGACTTTTTCAAATCTAACAAATGATCGCAATCCAGCACAACGCGGTATTTGTAGAAAAATATACAAAAATGGGTTTCTTCTCCATGCACGCGTTTTTGTCCAAAGAACTACTACTACCAAAAGGAAATTATTTTATTGGATTACTCGTTTTGATTGTACTTTCTTTTTTTGCCATGTTACGTACGTTTCAATGATCATTCACGCGTTTGTTCTTGTTACAATGATTTAGTTGCTAGCTCTCTTTTTTTGTTGTAGGATTTTTCATCTTGCTTTGAATGCTTTCATTACAATTTTTTTACTTGACTTTAGTTGCAATACGTGTTTCGGAATTAGTGATGTTTTTTTTTGTAAGTTTCCTGGTAATATTCAATGAATGATTTTAGTTGTATTTATTAGTCAACTGAAGCGATGCTATTTAGCATTTACTGCTAGGAGTATCCTATAAAGGGAACAGCTGGAGAAGGTTTTGTTCACTTGGGTCTGAATATTATATGCTCTCCAAGTGTTTGTGTTTTTCCCTAACCGTTGTCAACTTCCAACTTCTTTCGCTTCCCATGAAGTTGCCTTGTAAGAGGCCTGCTCCTGATGAAGCTGACGAGAGTTCTGAATCTATGGCTCCCGAGCTGAAAAGAAGGGCTACCCTTAAGGAGTGAGTTTGGTTTATTTATGCATGAACTGAGTTTGTTTCTTTATGATTCTAAGCTGATTAATGATTTGCATGTTTCCTTCTTGTCATCCAGTGCTGTTAGAAGCATAATGGGATTTGGGAGGCTTTCGTTTAACAGAATTGTGCTCAACCTGGAACCGATGCTTCGATCAGCGGTTAGTTCAATCATCGAATCATTTCGGGTTTACATTAGCAGCTTATCCTGTGACTTGAGATGTTTAACTCTTCATTTTCCTTAAAAAATACCTGTTTATTATACTTCTCTTTTTTTAATTCTTGTATATGTCATTTGTGATTAGGTAAGGGAAGAAGTGGAAAGAGCAATTCTATCTTCCTTTCACCCATCTTCAAGGTAAACCTGTTGTATTAGATCTTTGATAATATAGACGGATAAAACAGTGAAGTTTCATCAGCATCTCCATGATTCTCTAAATTAATTTCAGCTTTGCATTGCTTCTATTTTGCTGCAATGGCTTTTTCACAACATATCGTTCATGTTTCTTAAGTATTCATCTCAATTAACAGTCTATCACTGGTGTTTTAGGTCCTTGCTTAATCAGATTGAAGCATCTAGAGGAAGAAGCTTGCAGTTACGATTCGTCAATAAACTGCCCTCTACCGTATTTACGGGACGCAAGGTCGAAGCCGAGGATGGGGTGACCATTAGGCTTATCATAGTCGATGCAACTACGGGAACGATTATCACATCTGGTTCACTGTCTTCTATTAAGGTTGAGATTGTAGTCCTTAACGGTGAGTTTGGCACCGACGAGCGAGAAGATTGGACAGAAAGTGAATTCAATGCCAGTGTTCTTCGTGAAAGAGAAGGTAGAAGGCCACTGGTGACGGGGGATCTCATTATCACCTTGGTTGATGGTGTGGGAATAGTTGATAATGTGATTTTCACCGACAATTCGAGCTGGATAAGAAGTCGAAAGTTTAGACTAGGAGCTAGAATTATGCAGAGAATTTCTGGTGAATCGACAATCAGAGAGGCTAGAAGTGAAGCATTCGTGGTGAAGGATCATCGTGGAGAGTGTAAGTTAATTGTTCAAATGCTATTTATACTTCAGCTTCTATAATCTCTTTTGTAAATCAACTAATTAATGGAACATATACATATTATGCAGTGTACAAGAAGCACTACCCTCCCTTCCCCCATGATGAAGTATGGCGTCTGGAAAGGATAGCCAAAGACGGTGCCTTCCATAAACGGCTCACCTCTCATAATATTTTCACAGTCAAGGACTTCCTGAGGTTGCATGTCACTGATCCATCTGCACTGCACGATGTAAGAGAATACTCTCTTCATTTCAATCACAAAGTTTTGACCATACATGTTATTGTCTTGGTCTATGTTACTTGATTCGAGATGAGTGCAGTGACGAGAATATACATGAGTGTGTGTGGTGTTCACCTAGTTTAGGGATACGAGTATATATATACATATATAGTATAGATTTGTTCTGCTGAACCAATCTGAATTGTGACATTAATTAAAACTGCAGATACTCGGTGGTGGGATCTCGAACCGGGTGTGGGATACAATCATAGATCATGCTTTGTCTTCTGTTCTTGATGATGAGTGGTATTCCTACTATGGAACCGTACAAAGTGTTGGACTCCTATTAGACTCCATTTACAGAGTTGTGGCAGCAACATTGGATGGAGAAAATTACCACCCTGTGGAAAAATTTACCTTTTCTCAAAAAGTTAGTTTGTCATATCCATAAGAACTCAAATAGATACATTCATTTACTGTACTTCACAGATATGTTCTATATGACGATATCAAATGATTCTCTGCTTGATTTGCAGCTTCTGGTGGAAGATGCAAAAAGACAAGCTTACAAGAATGTTCGGTACCTGGTTTTGGTCGACCGGCGAGCAACTACGGGACCCTCGATTCCCTTGACAGATCTCCTGCCTGAGCCACTCAACAACCCAAATTTACTTCTGCAACAACCTGATCTCTCAGTTGAAACCCGAGGTACAACAATTTTCTAGTATAGACATATATACTTGCAACTTCAATAAACAAATCGCAGACTATATCGTAAACTCATCTTGATGTGGTTCATTCTTTTATGTATGTATGAAGATGAACCAGATACATCAAATAATAATTTCAACCAAACATCATCATCCTATGCCTATGAAATGAAAGATACCAATCGATTACAGGTTTCTTTACCCCATGATAACCTGCCATCAAAGCTTTCAATCCAACGCTAAGAAACAGCTTCAGATTGGGGGGAATCTTCCAATCCTATGGAGAGAACGATTTGTCATTTTTCACAGATGATCATTTTGCGACCGAGGATAATTCTCAAGCTCAAATGCCAATCTGGGCTTCAACTACTCCAGCATGGGGACTACTTAGTGGGTCTAATATTTCAACTTCGGCCTCCGAATCATCGGTAGGCATCCTTTCATCTTCCCCAAATGTAAATAGCCAAAGCATTGGAGAGACCAGAGATGTGTGGCCCAAAGCTAGGTGGTTGAAGTTACGTGCTATTATCCAATGGAGGTCAATTAGTCGCAGTGCCGCACGAAGGCGGCTTGCCACCAGGCTTCTGCATATATGATCAGCTAGATTTACTTTAAAAGCAATCAAGCTTTGTCCAAGTATATGTTGATGCTCTTCAAGTTGATTCATGAGTGCAATCAGGGGGTCAAGACTCAAGACTCTCCTAGATGTTTTAGGTTAGAATATTTGTAGATCTTAGTAGTGGTTTGGCCCTTTAGTACCAATTGAAACAAAAAGGGGTCCTTATAAATAGTATTTGTAAGTTGAAATCATGTTTTAGGTTAGAATATTTGTGGATCTTACGTAGTGGTTTGGCCCTTTTGTACCAATTGAAAAAAAGGGTGCTTATAAGCAGCATTTGTAAGTTGAAATCATAAATGTATTGCCATTATGAGATCTTTCGCTGGATTGTTTATATCCATGCAGTCATTCCTTGCAATTTCATAAACAATTAGGGTAAATTAAAAATTTCATCACTCAATTTTCTTCTCCATTTTTTTCCACTGAAACATAAACATTTTTTTAATTATAAGTGTAAACTATACTAAAAACCACTTAATTATAACCCCTTTTTTATTTTGACAATCAATTTTAAAATTTTATCAATAAGATCATTCAATTAAACATGTCGACTTGACAACTCTTACTTGTATTATCAGTAAAATTAGGAGTGCAAGAGACATTTTACATTTTACAAAGGATTCAATTCTTACAGTAATGAGCTAATGATCATTATTTAATTATAGTGTAAAAACTAACGAATACAGCATATAATAGGCAACCATCATTATATATGCCTATGTACTGAAACCGATATACAACATGAACAAAAACAGAATAAGAATTTAACATGGAGACCGAACGTGCATTTCAGCAATCACGTACAGAAGCAGTAAAGACCAAAATTCTGGAACTTGAAGCCGGCGGAAGATCTATTGCTTCAAAGGGTTCCTTCATATCATACACCTCTTTCACTTGGTTTGCCTGCCAAAAATTACAAGAAGACCAATAAATATGTTATAAACTACTAAATCAAATTCCAGGATAGCTCTGAAATTGTTTCTCAGAAGAAGAAAAAAAGTTTAAGATTTGACGATTAATAAAGGATACAGAGAATAGCAGGAACAATTGTTGGCCCCTAAGCAACTTTCACCATTCCCTGCTGTAAGAGAGATCATATACAATGTTATAAGTCTTCACAAGCAATATACATAAACAACATGAACAAAAAGCTGAGATTGATGAACATACCAGTTCAATAACACAAGGAATGGTGCCAAAGAGACCAACTCAAGTCAAAGCCCTAGAACAACAAGATCCCTACATTCCATTAATGTGTGTTTTTTTTTCTTGGTCATGGATTTGACCTGAGATAACCCATTTGATCCACAAGTTCCTGCAAATCATCAACCCAATCTGCAGGGTTTGCTGCCAAATCTTCAACTTGAACATCAACTTCAGCTTGATCACCAACCACGAGTTCCTCCCTCGGTTCACCACCTATCAAATCTTCATTTATTAACTCTTCCCATATCGTATCATTAACACCCAAGGTGTTAGTCACACTTGAAACGGGCATTGGACTTGTTATACGATCCTTGATTTCACTGCTGGATTCATTGTCCATGGCGTATGTAAAAAACGTCTCGATCTCGGACTCGATGGTAGCCAATTCTTCTTGCTCGTCGACTTGATCGTTATCGACCACCACAGGGACTGCTTCTTGCTGCAAATTCTCTAAGCTGGGGCTCGCTGCTAACCGACGTTTTCGACCTATTTCGATCCCCGGAACCTGTCTTTGCTGAGCGAATTGCTGGATAAAAGTCGCGTTTCGTAGAGCTTTAGCAAGGAATGCTATTATCTGCTGCTGTTTCCTCTCTGTGTTCTGCAACCTTTCCTCCATTGCAACAACTTGGTACCTTGAATGCTGCTGCTGCTGCCTTAATCGCACGATTTCGGCTAGTAAAACACTTCGATCCTTCTTTAATCGCTCCAGTTCTTCATCTATTCCAAATTGTCCTAACTCAAAACAAGCTCCTCCACCTTGATGTGGAGAGCTTGGCACCAAATTTCTTCTCCTCTTAATCGTTTTCAGTAAGTGCTTTTGACCTCCCAGAAACCCTTCATTTGCAAATTCCCATCGATCCGGATCAATTTTTCGAAAACCCTGAATTCAAATCCACCATTAAACTGAATACTGCATGTTGAATTGATGATGAAACCAAGAGAAAAAGCGAGGGTTTTGAAGTGAAACTACTTACATACGTATTGAGCTGGCGAATGAAACTGGAGAAATTGTTGTGCTTGAAGTACCTAGGAAGCAGAGTGGTGGAGAATTTATGAGAGTCCCAAACGATGAAGCTGTTTCGAGCTTTACTCCATGAAACCACCGCGTCCGTCGATGGGTCTTCGACCATTTCAAAGGTTTTGGAGAGGAATGGCGGCGGACCAATCTCGTTAAGCCCTTCCCGCGGCTGCGGAGTAGCGTTCGAATACGATGAAGATGAAGACAACCCCACCGTTACAGGAGCAGCAAACGTCACTTGTGTTTCCTCTTCCTTTACTACCACTCCTTCCATCAATCCTGTACCAGCACACTGTCTTACTGTTAAGAGTGTTCTACTTTTTTTTTACTATGTTCTGTCTGAAAAATCTTCTTCAATCTTTGTAGGAAAAAGAAAACAACTGACGGAGTTCGTTGGATTATCAAATGTGATATAGAGGGGAATTGGATATTTATAAATGGCGGTGGAGAAGAAGGTTCTGGAGAGTGTATTATGTGTTGAGTTCTGTTAGAAGTTTCTGACATTTGGCAAATTGCAAAAAGGTTCTGGAAACTTCTCCATCTTTCCAGACAAGTGTTTGGGGGGGGGGGGATTTCGATTCCGATGACGAAAGGGGCTTCGTCTTCCTTTCTCAGCCGTTGATCGTCGAGATGTGGGGCCCACTTATTTTTTTTTAAAGTCATTTCACAGTATTTTTCATGACTCCAAATTTGGACACGCAAGCTGCTAGATTTTTTCAGGATGTCTTAAGAGATAAGGAGGAAAAAACAAATGGGCTTTTGTAATGTTAGAATGAGGGTCACTTTGTCCAAGCTCCAGTAGTTTTGTTCCTCAGGGAAGGCAGGTTCTTTACCCAATAGCTAGGGCCCTAAAATTATTTAGTCTAATAGGGTACCTCAGATTTTATTTTACAATATACAGTAAATACTACGGTATATAAAGAATACATCATCGTGAGGCGATTGTAGTTTAAATAATATTTTTCATTTAAACTCCTTAAGGTGATGAATTTTAATAAAATATAATTTTTATTAGAATTTTATCGTGCCAAAGTATAAGTTTTAATAAAAATATATTTTATTAAAATTTGTTATCTACATAAATTTATTTGAGATATCATAATACTTTTGTTTTTAAAGGTAAATTTTTTTAGAGTTTATGTTATCTTTATATATTGTATAATATACGATTTCAAGATTCGAGGTTTTTACAAAAATAATATTTAATTTAATCACATGTACTACTCAATAAATCTTCGGCCCAAATTAGCTTCCCTTCCCGGAAATGTTGACCCAGTACCGTACGTGGGCTAATTGCTAAACCCAATACGATAGTAGATTTTTTATTTTGAGAACTACAACATTTGTTACTGTGATTTAAAACTCATTACTTTATTACAGTCATTGGTGGTTGAACTCGTGACCAGAGGTGGATCTAGAAATATTTTTCAGAGTGGGCACATATGTATTAATAATAATAACTTCCTTATGAGACAAAAACAAATAAAATTTTAGAGGGACACTATCAGTGAAATGAACAATTGATATAAAGAAATTTGAAATTCAGGGTAGATACCTTCAGTAAAATGAATAACTAGTATAAATAAATTTAGATTTAAGGGTGGGCACGTGCCCACCCTAGGATGTACATGCATCCCTCATTAATGACAATGCTTATGTGACATGACATATAGTGATGATCAAAATACTCGAATCCGACGAATCCTGGCCCTATAGGGTTTTTGTTGTTGAAATTTCAAGACTGGGCAGGACCGAGTTTAAAGTGAAAAAATTCCGACCCGACCCAACCTGGTATATATATATATATATATATATATATATATATATATATATATTATTTCTAATATTTTAAGAATTTGCATTTTATATTATTAAAATATATTATTTAATTATTAAAAATGTAAAAATGTAAAATATATTACTTTAACCGTTTAAATATAATAAATAATTATAAATATATTATTTTAATTATTTTAAAAATATTAATATATTTAGATCGAGTCGGATCAAGGTCGTGATTTTAGTCTAAAAATCGGGACGACAGAGTTGGGTTTTAGATATATGTTTTCGGGTCGGGGTCAGAGCAGTCAAAAAATCGGCCTGCCCCGCACCCATCCCTAATTACATGTCATTTTTTATATATTTTTTAATTATCACATTACCTTTTCTTTATTCGTCGAAATTTTTAATTAATTTTATTTAATTAATTTTATTCAACCAATTAGGGGTGGCACATGTCATAATTGTGTCACCACTTGTAACGCCCCGAATTTCAGGTTAGTAGTTTCGATTAAGGTGAGTCCTGTCAATAGAACCCATTGGATTTTTCAAACCAATTTTAGAACAATTCTTAAGAGTTCGAGGAGTTAACTTGAGTAGATCGAGAGCATTTATATTTTAGAACAAATTTACGACTCAGATTGTTTTTCGTGGGCAGTTTAGTAGATCGCGTTCGAGGAGCAGTAGATAGATCAATGTCCAAACCCAGTGCAGATTCATAGTACATTTCAGCAGCTTTTGAAGGACATGTATATTTTATAAACCCTGTTGTATCAATTGAGTCTTAAATTTTATTAAGAGTCGGTCTGTGTAATATTTTGATTGTAAATATTTATTTTTGGGAGCTCCCCAATATTAAGTTTTAAATTATATTATTTCATGGATGTTTTATTAGTGGAAAATGGTCATTTTATAGTACATGAAAAGAGTGAGGTGTTGGTCAGCCACTCCGGTGGTTCCGTATGGCATCCTATATTGATCGACTGTGTGTTGTATTGATCTAGGGTGTTACATCAGCTATGGGGATAAAATGTTAGAAATCACTCTTGCTCCTAGTATGAATTGAACTTGGGCTTCTTACATAAGAAACAAATCACTCAACCATTAAGTTAAGCTAATCATTCAAATGAATTTCATCACATTTTGTATTGAACTTATATAATGGTATCACCAAAAAATCGTATTTTTCGATGATTATAAGGGTCAAATATGAGACACTTTAAATTAATCACTGAAAGCTTAATCACTCAACTATAATAAACATTTTTTTATTATACTTAACTTAATACTTACTTATTCATTATTAAATTAAAAGATTATTTTTCAATTTATTTAAAAATTAAAAAATAGTTTACATATTTTTATAAAAAGTATACGAAACAATTATAAAAAATATTTATGATATTATAAAAATATTTGTTTAGTTTTTAAAATCAAATTAATTATTTATATGAAATAATATTATTTTTAAATTATACATTTAATTTTAAATAATTTTAAATTTATGGTAAATTATACATTTAGTATCAAACTATTAGTTTGATATCGTACAATATTATTTAAAATTAAATGGACATTTTAAAAATAATATTATTTAAAATAATTAAATAATGTTATTTCAAATAAAAAATTTAAATTTAAAAAAAATTATTTAAAAAAATCATAATATTATAAAATAATTTAATATAAATTCTATAAATATATATAAATAATTATTTTTTATTTTCAAATAAAGTAAAAAACTATTCTTTAATTTATAACGATATAAGTAAGTATTAAGTCTGATATAATAAAAATAGATTTGCATTATAGCTGAATGACTAGGCTTTCAATAATTAATTTAAAGTGTCAAATATTCAAATTTGATAATTATCTAAAAATATTAATTTTGTGATGATACTATTGTATAAGTTAAATACCAAATGTGGTAAACTAACTTAAATTACTAGTTTAACTCAATGGTTGAGTGTTATGCATTTAATGTAAGAGACCTAGATTCAATTTATGCTAAGAGCAAGAATACTTTCTTTTATTTTTATCCCCATAGTTGGTGACATGTATAATCATTTAATTGGTTGAATAAAATTAATTAAAAAATACTAATAAAGAAATAAAAAGCTGATATGAAAATTAAAAAATATAAAATTTATATGTAATGTCACATCAATATTATCATTCATGGTTTTGAAAAAAAAAATAGGTAATAAAACGAAGTAAAAATAATAGTGTAAATACTAAATGTATAATTTACCCTTTTAATATTTATTTAATAAAAATAATTTAATTAGTGATTTAATACGTCACTTTAATAGTATATTACGGTATGCGAGGTGCGATATAGATTCTTCTATTATGTACTTGTTTATTTCAGTTTTGCTGTGTGGTTAGTTTCCTAGCTATAAAAAAATAAAACCTAGTTGTTGGGTTCAACAATGGTCAATCTTTTCCATTGTGATTAACGGTGGTAGATCTATAAATTTAAAAATGAAATCTAAAATTTTAAATTTTTTTTAAAATTAATAGATATATAAAAATTGTAATTTTTTTCTTAACACGTCACGTTAAGTTAAATCTAATCATATTTCTAAAATAATGGAATGCACTTATCCCTTAGGGGCTCAGTGCATCTGCAAGTGATGGGTAAAACTTTTACCACTAATATTCTGAAGTATTTGTCTGGTTGGTTCAAGAGGAAGAGCCAATGTGATGTTTATTTTAATTGCTCCCGCCATGTGGGGGAGAAACCTACATCCAAAGCCATTGGATTATTAGTAACATTTGATTTTAAAGGAAAAATTAAATATTATTTAAAACGAAAAAATTATGAATTCCGGAATTATTGTAAATTAACAAAAATAAAAAACCAAATTTAAAAATTTAAACATTGATATATATATATATATATATATATATATTCCCTTTTTTTTAAAATATTGCCATCATTGTTAAAAGGGCAACCCAACAAACAAACAAACTATATTTTGACATGATTTCGATACACACATCTTTTTATCCAATAAAAAAAACGTACATTGTTCGGGGTCCGTATTCTAGAGAGAGAATCCAAAGCTCAGATTTTGAGATTCATGGAGACTGAGCTCATATTGTTTTTGTATCCGCTCATCTACGGCTGAATACATGAACAAGCGTAGGATCTTATATTAGGGTGAATTTTTATAGTTTTTGGAGAGATTAAGCAACTTTAAAAAAAACAAAAATAGATTATTAATTAAAAATATAAAATATATTAATTTAAATTGTTTAGGGAGAGACTCATCCTACTCGCCCCTTTGATCCAATATCCGGTGGAAGAACACGTGGAACGAGGAATGGGTGTTTAGGGTTTCTACGTCCCTTTTTCAAGGGTTTAGGGTTCGGGTATTTATCGAAAAATTTCTCTGCTATTTTTTATTTACGTATCAGATATTGTTTAAGAAAATTTTATTGATCTAGCACCTTTTTTTTGAATAAAGACATCTTTATGCAATGATGAACACCACCCTTGAAAGTACATCTCCATCTACCGAAAGTCTCAAGTGCTTGGAAACATCCTCCAGCTTAATCGTGCACTCTCTCCATGGAAGATGGAATATGTATGTCTTCGGTCTCCATCGCTCAACTAATGCAGAAATCAAGTTGGATTCTACGTTACAGTGCCCTTCATATCTAGCTACGTAGCCGAATCCAGCCTCGACTAAATACGGCCAGAAACATATTGGTATCTCTAACTTAATATTGCGGATAAAGGGGTCTAATATACAACATCTCTCCTAATTTAATAAATATTAAATAAATTAATATATAAACTAATAGTAAATAAATAAATTATTAGCAATAATTAAAATTAAAATAGAATTAAAAATGTTACCATATCAGTAAAATGCCTAGAGATATGATTTTCATTTAAACGAAGCAGACCACATTCTATTTTATAACTACAAAAAAATAATTAATATAAAACAATTTAAGAAAATACTAAAATATTAATTTCTTATAATATAATATAGAGAAAATAACCTCAATGATCAAAAATCTCAGATAAATTCGCGTTGCATTTCGCGTTGCGATAGTCTACAGTTGTCGTTGCGATAGTTGAAAATCGCGTTGCGATAGTTGCAAATCGCAATGCGATTTTCCATTTCGCGTTGCGATAGTCTACAGTTGTCATTGCGATTTTCCAAATTCGCTATGATAGTTAAAAAAAAGATTTTGTTTCTTAAGAATTTTCTCTAAAAAGATAGTATCCGCGCGGACGTGTCGAAGACACGTATTACCACGACCACGACCAGGACCACGAGACGAGACGAGACGAGACGAGACGAGACGGACGGCGGCGGCGGCGGTGCGCGAGAGTCCCCCTTGTTCTCTATCACTCAACAAGGAAGTGAGAAAGCCAAGCCTTAAATACTATTCCCAATAGTGTTTCCAATACTATGTGGGATTTGAGCATTACCAACACTTGTTCCCAATACTATGTGGGATTGAGCCTTAAATAGTGATATTATTTTTGAATGTTTTGCTTAAAATTGCAATAATCGCGATTGATTGTAGATTGACTTTTAATTATGACATATTTAATCGTATAATACTAATGCAATTGGTTGCTAATTCAATTGTTTTAAGGTGCATGATTATTAATTGTTTCCTGAATAATCACATTGTATTGGAAACAAGTGTTGGTAATGCTCAATCCCACATAGTATTGGAAACACTATTGAGAATGATATTTAAGGCTTGGCTTTCCCACTTCCTTGTTGAGTGATAGAGAACAAGGGGGACTCTCGCGCGCCGCCGCCGTCGCCGTCCGTCTCGGGTCGGGTCGTGGTCGTGGTCGTGGTCGTGGTCGTGGTAATACGTGTCTTCGACACGTCCGCGCGGATACTATCTTTTTAGAGAAAATTCTTAAGAAACAAAATCTTTTTTTTAAATTATCACAACGAATTTAGAAAATCGCAACGACAACTGTAGACTATCGCAACGCGAAATGGACAATCGCGTTGCGATTTTCAACTATAGCAACGCGAAATGGAAAATCGCAACGCGATTTTCAACTATCGCAACGCGAAATGGAAAATCGCAACGCGGTTTTCAACTATCTCAACGCGAAATGCAACGCGAATTTGCGATAGTGGAGATCGCAATGCGAATTAGAGATCGCATTGCGATTTTGTTGGTCATTTTCGTAAATCCAAAAAAAATTGGTCAAAATCGTATATTATCTAGGATTTTTGGTCACTGAGGTTATTTTCTCTATAATATAATATATTATCTTCTAAATAGAATTTGATCGGGTTTGAGCTTTAATAGGGTTTGGTTTTTGATATGATTTAAGAGGGTTTGAGATGATTTGGTATTGTTGAAATAGTAGAGGGGTATTTATAGGTTTTAAGATGAGATTTGGGCGGATGGATATCATTAATTGGAGGAGTATGAATGATTGAAAATTAAATAAAAGACGCAGTTGATGATCCATGCCTTTTTAGTGCGAGTGTTAAATTTGCAGAAAGATACAGATGATGATCTACACCTTACCCCAACTAACGCCACAACAACTTAAGGCATAAATCATCATCTACACTTTTCTACAAAATGTGCTAGATCGACAAAAATTTTTCAATGGATGCCTGATAATTAAATAAAAAATGTCAGGGTATTTTTTTGTTGTTGGTAAATACGCCTTAGGGGGTGTTTGGTTCAAGGATTGTGAATCCCACATTCCCATGTTTGGTTGGCCGGGAATCTCATTCCCGGTAATGTTTTATTACTAATAGTAGATTTTTTGGGGTATATTACCGGGAATGTCATTACCTCCATTCCCTTATGTATTGTAACATTACCGGCGTTTTGGACTAAAATCGTTTTAATTTTTTTTTTCAAAAATACCCTTCTTCTGTCATTGAATAATAAAAATTCTACAAAGGTTAAATTATAAATTTATCCTTAAATTATTTTAGATTTACAAAAAAAAATCTATAATTAAAATTTTATATGAAGTTAAGAGGTTAAAAAAAATTTACCATTTCATTAAACATTTTTTATATTTTTAATTTTGTAAAACAAATTATATAAATATTATGAATTTAATTTTTTAAAGAAAATATATAAATATTTTACAATTTTTAATATTATACAAATATATAATAAGGATAATTTGGTCAAATATACATTCCAATAATCTTTTATTCTTTTAACCAAACACGGTAATCTTACATTCCTGCTAAACCAACTAAACACAAAATACAACATTCTCAGTAATCATATTCCTTGATAATCTTTTATTCCCACTAATAATATTATATTCTGTGAACCAAACGCACCTTATAGACCAACCTTTTTCCCATTAACAAAAATGGGCGCAATGATATTCTCCTTGTACTGAAAATGATTAGAATTCATAGTTCCATGGGGATGTTGACAGCCAACTTTAACCAAAAAGTGCAAAACTTACAAAATCATGTACGTCACTGCCGTTTCTAATTTTAAGGTAATGTTTGGTTGGATGAAATCTCTTGAAATTGGATGGAATTAAAATTTAATTTTATCACTTTCTCATGTTTGGTTCAAGTTTTTCAAGGGAATTAGAATCTCTCATGGCTTCAACTTTCTATCAAATGAGAAAAAGTGAATTTCATCCAAGAATGAATGGAATTCAATTCCCTTGTTGGAGGAAATTGAAATTTGATTATATTATCCTCATCAATCTTTTGATAACTTATTCATATATTGAATAAAAATATTATTTATTATTTCGGGTCGGGTCGGGTCGAGTTCGGGTTTAGGGTGAAAAATACCCGACCCGAAAATATATATAATTTTACCTTACATATTTAGGAATAATTACAATAATACCCCTCTATATATATATTTTTTCAATTAAGCCACTGTTTTTATTGAATAAAAATAATTTTTTTTATTATTTCGGGTCGGGTCGGATTTCTAATTCATATATTCGGGTCGGGTCGGGTAAAACTTTATTTTGTTCAGGTCGGGTCGGGTTTTTTAAGTGTGATATTTTGGTCGGGTCGGGTTCGGGTTTAGGGTGAAAAAAATCGGACCGACCCGAAAAAAATATAATTTTACTTTATATATTTAGGAATAATTACAATAATACCCTTCTATATATAATTTTTTTCAATTAAGTCAATGTTTTTATTGAATAAAAATAATTTTTTTTATTATTTTGTGTCGTGTCTAGTCGGGTTTCTAATTCATATATTAAATAAAAATATATTTTGGTATAGTTTTTGATAACTTATTAACATATTTTGATTACGGTGATTTTAACTTATGATATTTATTAGCATGATTTTTATAATTTATTGAAATGAATAATCAATCAATAAAATGAAAATTTAATATTTTTTAATTTTTTATAATATATTACTACATGTAAGTTGTAAAACAAACTAAAATAAAGCAAAAAAAATAAGAAGGGTAATTCTATCATTTTACATTACTGAAATCAAATTCATCTGACATGTTTGCGAACCAAACAGAATGGAATTAGATTCCAATTCCATTTCTTGTCAACTAAACAGAATATAGAATTGAATTTCAATTCCTGACAGATTTCAATTCCTTCACCGATTTCAATTCCCTCATAGCGAACCAAACGCTACCTAAAATTACACAAGAGTTATTATTATTCGATTACATTTCCGTCTATAATGAATTCCATAAAATATTTATCTAATTATATATTTGTAACAATAAATACTTCTTTAATAGTCTAACTATATAAATTAACGTTTATGATTAAAAAGTTGGGTAAATCACGTGGTGCCTGATACGTAAACATATCAGAATTGGATAGCGATACTAAAAAAAGTTGACAGCAGCTGAAATTTCATCTCCCGCCCCGCCCCCTCCACGTGGATATCTCAAAATTCCATTGACAGAGGAGTGGCGCTCAGCTGTCACCCACAGGGGTATTTCCGTCTTTACATGCACACCCCCGTCTAGGGTTTATTGCCTCCACCCCCTCTGACAAACAACCTCTCACTCGCTGTCGGTACTTTTATACAGGTTTTCCCCCTTTTCTGGGGAGGTTTATTCTTCTTCGTTTTTATCGGCAAATTTTAGTTTTCTCTCTCTTTCTTCTGGGTTGTTTTCATCTCTGGGTTTTGTTTCTCGAGAGCAAAAGGTTATCCCCTTTGCTATGTTTTTCCTCTGTTTCATTCAGTCCCTCTGTTTTTCTTCTTCTCAGTGAATGAGAAAAGCTGTCGATTGTGTTACCAAGTTGGTATTGCTTAGCCCTTTCCATTTACCATTATCATCCTGTTTTTGATCAACGATCTTTACACAGTTGCAGCATGGTTATAATGGATCTGAAAGCAAAGGTTGATATTCATTAGCCATCTTCCATGCTTAAAGGCTTTTGTCTTTTCTTTCCTTTACACCCAATTTCTTGTTTAGTACTAACTTGGTTTCCGTTTATGATCCAGAAATCATCTAGTGAGGGTACGATGAGTGAGAACAACAAGAAGTTTTGTACTGATTGCAAAACCACAAAGACTCCACTTTGGAGAGGTGGCCCCGCTGGTCCCAAGGTATTATTTTCTCTTCGCTTCCCCTTTTCAAAGCAACACATCTTCTCTTTTGAAGCTCACAACTTTTTTGGGTAAATTTCAGTCACTTTGCAATGCATGTGGGATCAGATACAGGAAGAAAATAAGAGCAATGTTGGGTTTGAACAAGGGAGAAGAGAAGAAGAAAAAGAAAGAGATATCAGATTCAGCACACATCAGCTCTATTGCCACTTCAAATGATGATTGTAGTAAGAAGCTTAATGGAAACTTTAATGGACTTGGTGACAAAGTGAAGATGAGATTATATGCTTTGGGAAGCGAAGTTCTGTTGCAAAGTTCATCATCATTATCTGGGGTGGTGAAGAAACAAAGGTGCCAGAGGAGAAGGAAGTTGGGAGAAGAAGAACAAGCTGCTATTTCTTTGATGGCATTGTCTTGTGCCTCTGTTTTTGCTTGAACCATGAAGAGACAGAGGAGCCAAAAAAAAAAAACAAAAACTAACCCGTAAAGTTCCTTTTTTTTCATCGACTTTTCCTGGGTTTTTTCCCTTTGCCTTTTCTTGTTACTGAAATGAAAAATACCCATGTTCTGGACAGCTGTTCTGTTTTTTCCTCTTAGGAAGTAGTAATGTTTTTTGGAATAGCTGCTGCTGCTGATGATTGTAAATAGTACTTTGGAAATGAATGAAGAATGAGAATTTAATGTTTCAAGTAGGTTTTGCAGACCCGTTTCTTTTTATTCGCAACTACCTGTGCATTATCCAAAGAATCTTTATTCGTGTTTCGTTATGAACGATGATGGTCTGAGGGGAGATCTGTATTAAAAGATCATAATAACTTATTTTCTTCACTTTGGAAACGAAATAGTTTATGGTTTTGGTTTCTATCTTCAGATTTTTTCATCTTTTGGGGTGTTTCGTTTTTAAGGTGATGAGCTTGTATCGGCCTCAACATCACCAAACCCAAGGCTTGCTTGATTCTTGCAAGCTAAACAATCATTAAGCCTCTTTGAGTTGTGTATGGTCTACCAACTTTCAATCCTCTGTTTAAACTAAAAAAGTTCCAAAATTGTAGTTAGGGTTCATTGATTTCTATTTGTGTTCTCGGAACAGCAAGCACCATACAAAAGATTTGATTTGTTTTCTTTTGCTTTTTCAGTAGAGAAAAGGTATTGTATAGGGCTGTAAAAAAAAACAGGATATGGCGATGGCCTTGCCTCTGCTGTCAAAGCAAACGAGAGGAAAAATATTTTAAGATGATGTGTAACAACCCGAGAAAAAAATTAAATCGGTGTAATTTAGTAAAATTTAATGACTAAAATAAAATTTATGAAAATTTATAAGTCATTTTAGAAGTTGAAGAAAATTCAGGAATCAAACCTTTAATTCCTCCAAAGAGTGTCGGCAGCATTGTTTTAAATGTGTACAAGTTTTGCTTATATTTCCTTTCTCCCGCACATCTACTTTCAAGCCCGATTTCGACGACGTCCGACTTCCAATCGTCAAATTGAAACCACAATCGTGTTCATCGTCGACCCGTGATCAAAACCCAGTAAACCAATTATAGCAAAATGCTGTCAAACGACGTGAATTTCGAGTCAAAGTCTCGATGTTTTTTTAGCACCACCTCCGGGAAAATCTTAAATTCATCTCTGATCGTTGATCGGTTATCGACACCTCCTGCACCATCGTGTTCCTGGTGTTGTTCTGAGTCCGACGGTGTCGTCCTTGACTCCGTAGGCGGCGGCGCGTGTGGGAGGTGGAGCGGTCAAAGATTCGGCCGAGTTGAAATCGAGCTCTCCACCGTTCAAATATTTGAACCGAGGTTGGTAAGTGACACAAAATCGCTTAAAAGAATTTTTAGAATTTTTTTCATGAATTATTGGAGACCGTACGACGCCTCACGCGCCCCCACGCGCCGCCCCTGCTCGTGGGAGAGTTTCGAACTGGTTGATTTCATGTTGATCGGCTTGACCGATCCAAACCGGTCTGATCGGTCCGAACCGTTAACCCACCCGGCCCGACCCGGTGACCCGACCCAACCCGACCCAGTGACATTCTGGGAATTTTTGTGAAAATGTGACATTCTGGGAAATATTTTGAAAAATGTGACATTCTGAGAAATATTTTGAAAAAGTGACATTCTGGGAATTATTTTGAAAAATGTGAGATGCTGGGAATTATTTTGAAAAAATGTGACATTTTGGGAATTTTCGACCTTTGATTTTGTTCGAGTATATATGTTCTCATATTTTTCGACGTGCCAAATCCGTTTCCGAAGTCCGTTTCACCAAATGCGAACCCGAAAGCCTCCAAATCATCAGTCAAACCCGTTGACTTAGTTTTTGACTAAGAATTTGAATTTTCGAAAAGTCATACTTTATGTTTTTCGATGTTCTGATTCCGATTCCGCAATCCGTATGGTTAAATTCAGAATCAAAATCCTCCAAATTGATAGTCAAACCCGGAAAATGCTTATATACTTAAGAATTTTAGCTTTGATCAATTAAGTAAGTCTTGGAGTTAATAAATTATTATTGTTTGAAGGTACAAGAGACTCTCCGGATCGTTCGACAGCTCGACCCAGCTATTCTAGATCAGTTAAACCACGGGTGCCAATATTCATCCGTAAGACCCGTAAATTTTATGATTTCAGAAATTAATTTTGTTACCCATTAGTAATATAGTGTCATTATGGATTAGGTTTGAAAACAGTAGCAGAGCGTGGCGAGAGCAGCAATCACTAGATCTACTATTTGAACTTATTGTCGAGGTGTGTTCCCTGTGTACTACTCGATTGTTTTATATGTTTTGAAATATGGTAAATTGAAAGCTATGGCTTAATATTTTATTAATCTACCTATTTACTGGTGATGGTTTATGGAATATGATTGATTTATGATTATTGGTTTTCATTGGTATATGATAATATTGAATATAGAATTATGGAAATTATGCTTACTGCATAAATAGTATTTTTGAAATACTGATTTTGGGTTGGATTGCATTACGGAGATACAGCTTTGATCAAGCTGGTAAACTTTATGGACCTAATGTGACTCTTGGTAGGCCCATGGGCCTCAAGATGCTTCATTAGGTTGGCTTCCTTTGCTGTGTGCTTAGGGTAAGCCCTACGGATTTACGGACTTAAGAATACAGGCCCGAAAGCCTATTCTTAGGTTGGCTACCTTTTTGCTGAGTGCTTAAGGTAAGCCCTATGGACATAGTTCTGGGGAATTGCGGATGGTGTACAGGAGAATGGTTTTAAATTACGAGTTTCAAAAGTTAAACTTCATTATGATTTGATGATGAAATTCTGAACTATTACTCATTTACTGTATCTACTATGATTTTATTGTACTATTGGGACACACTGAGCCTAGCTCACTTTTCGAAAATGTTTTCCCCTTTCAGATACTGTTGGTTAGATACACCTGATTGAGCACTTGGAGGATCAACATATCTCTTGAAGTATATCATATTGTAATGTTTTATCATTTAAGTTGACACTATTTTGGTAACATGACCCTTATTTTAAAGTATTGAATTTTATAATGATTTCTCCTTTGCTATTTGTATTTGGGTTATCGTAAATTTGGATTTTTAAGACATGTTTAAATTAATTTGTTTTTCTTCATTATATTTATGAGATGTATTTTTATAGTATAAATTATTATAGTTTCATAAACGTCATTTATAATGTGATTTTACCATGATTGAATAATGGTTTCAGAACAATATCTTTAAGAATTATGAATGTGATTCACTAGACTTAGTCGAAACGCATAGACCGAGTCTATGGGGTTACATTTAATTGGTATTAGAGCTTTTGGTTGTTAAACATCGGACTGTGTATGAGTCCAAATTGAAAATACGGTTTTGAAATATTTTACAAAACATGTTGCTAAGGCCATGTCTCAAAGTTTTTACGATTTTAATAGTGTTTGAGACTCCAAGTGCTTACCTAACCTTAAGTTTTATCTTCTATAGTAAACTAGAGATCTACCAAAATGAGTGCTAGACGTGGACGTCGAACTAGCCGTGGACGAGGTCGAATGGATAGATTTGTGGACCCAATCGATGAGATTCGAGTAGATCCCCCACCTCCGACAGGTGATCCTGCTCCTGCGACCCCGACGAATTTGCCTCATACAGCTGGTATTGGCATAACTACACCAATCATAGGAGCGACTGATATTGAGTCTGATTCTACCAGAGTTGCACCTGATGAGAATTTTGGTATACAATTTCTACAGTTGATTCAGGGAGCAGTCAGAGCTGCTGGTGTTGGATCAGATGTGCCTATTTCTCAGACTCTGATTGCTAATGGAGTCAGAACTTTTGAAGGACAGATTGGTGGACCTCCTACTGAAGCGGAAGATTGGCTCCAGGATACAGAAAGACGTATGGATCAGTTGGGTTTGGATCCAACTAAGAGATATCTGGGTGCAGTAGCGATGTCAGATGGCAATGTCCATACCTGGTAGGAGTCAGCAGTCAGTAGTATTTCGGCTGATCGTCTGACTTGGGATTTCTTTAAGGAACGCTTTAGGAGCCGTTTTCTGGGAGAGCGTTACTTAGCTCAGAGACGACAGCAGTTCCAGGACCTAGTACAGGGAGACATGACCATTTCTGAGTATGAGATCGAGTTCTTGAAGCTGCTAAAGTATGGATTCAGTATGGTACCTACTAAGAGAGATCGATGCCGTAAATTTGCTCTTGGACTCAGATATGAGCTACGTAGGCAGGTTGTTACCCATCAAGACGAGATTTTTGATGTGCTGGTGGGCAGAGCGAAGGATACTGAGGAGGTAGAGACCTTAGCTCCAGCAAGATATCGTGTTGATCGAGAGCGGCCTGGGAAATTTTCTGGCCCGAACGAGTTCTCTGCACGTCCTGGAAAGAACACTCGTACTTCAGGTCATTTGAGAAGCAATACCAGTTCTAGGCCTGCAGTATCTTCACCTTCAGTTATCAGTCGAGGTGGTTCCTCATCGTTTTATTATGGCCCCCTATATGAGTATTGTGGTATTCGACACAGAGGTGAATGTCGTAAGAAGATGGGACTTTGTTACCAGTGTGGATCCAGTGGTCATTTCCCGAGGGATTGCCCACAGTTAGTTTCATCTGAGAGGGTAACTAACCAGACTCCTACGCGTTCCCAGGCATCAGTTCAAACTCCAGCCAGATGTCGCAGTCAGGGAAGACCTTTCATATCAGCATCCAGAACAGATAGTAGAGCCCGACCTCAGCAGAATATAGAGCCAACAGTTTCTGAGGCTAGACAGCCAGCTTTGGTTTATGCCACTAGACGTCGGGATGACAGAGATGAGCCTGAGGTTATTGTAGGTACATTTACTATTTATTCTATTCCATACTTTGCATTACTGGACAATGGCTCAACCCACTCCTATGTATCAAGCTCAGTATCTCGAAACCTTCAGATTCCAATTAAGAACACTAATAATACTGTTACGGTTACAAGTCCAGTAGGACAGACAGTATTAGTGAATAAAGTATTTCGGCATTGTCCTCTGGAGGTTCAGGGAGAAATTTTTCTCGCTGATCTTATGGAGCTTCCTTTAGAGGAGTTCGATCTAATTCTTGGGATGGATT